AACCACGGGGAGGGAGGGAGTAATAGCACTTAGGCTTATATCCCACTTCACAGTGCTTTACAGCCCTCTCTAAGCGTACAGAGTCAGCCTGTCCATCCACCCCCCACCCTCCGCCAACAATCTAGGTCCTCATTTTACTGGTTTTACTGGTTACTCATTCTACAGAAGGATGGAAGGCTGAGTCAACCTTGAGCCTGGTGAGATTCGAATTGCCAAATTGCAGTCAGGCGGCAGTCAGCAGAAGTAGCCTACAATACTGCAGTCTAACCACTGCGCCAACATGGCTCATCGCCCCCCCCCCCCCCCCGGGAAGTCTTTTGGCTGCAGAAGTTGTGAATGCTCCAACGCCGGAAGATTTTAAGAAGCGGTTGGATAACCATTTCTCTAAAGTGGTGTGTAAGCACTGCCACAAAGAAGAGGGAGTCAAACTATTCTCCAAGGCATCTGAGGGGCAGAACAAGAAGCAATGGGTGGAAACTAATCAAGGAGAGAAGCAACCTAGAACTAAGGAGAAATTTCCTGACTGTGAGGACAATTAATCAGTGGAACAACTTGCCTCCAGGAGTTGTGAATGCCCCAATACTGGAAGTCTTTTAAGAAGATGTTGGACACCCATTTGTCTGAAATGGTATAGGGTTTCTTGCCTAAGCAGGGTGTTGGATTAGAAGACCTCCAAGGTCCCTTCCAACTCTGCTATTCTATTCTATGGTGGTCAACAGATTCTCCTTTCTCTTTTGTCTTCGTAGCATCTCAGCCTTTATCCAAACTCTCCGCCTCTCAAATGTCAAGCCGCCCATCTACTTGGACTCCTCTCAGAGCTGGGAGACCTGGGGAGGTCTACGTCCAAATTCTTTGGATCTCATCGTCAACATCAACATGATTCACATCTCAGAGATGAAGTGCACCCAGGTGGGGAATCGAGACTTTACAAAGATTGCTCAGCAGCCGTTAAATCCCTTTCGTCTGGCTGGGATTTATGCTGGGCTTCAGGTGGTTTCACTTGGGGGATCTCCAGCTCTGTCGACTGCAACGCAGAATTTATTATTTATTTACTTACATACTTATTTAGTTATTCATTTATTTAGTTATTTATTTAGTTATTTAGTTTGTCAAACATGTACGTAATAACAGGTATAAGTATAAACATGGACATGAACACAGGAAATGGGTACGAATAAANAATAGAATAGAGAATAGAATAGAGAATAGAATAGAATATAGGATAGAATATAAAATAGAATAGAAGTTGGAAGGGACCTTAGAGGTCTTCTAGTCCAGCCCCCTGCTCCAGCAGGAGAAACTATACTATTTCAGACAAGTGTCTACACAAGTGGTAGACAATTCTGCTCCCAACTGTCTGCTGGGGATTTCTGGCATCCCCCTCCTCTTCAAGAGCTCAGGGGCGAAATAATGCAGCGTTAATCTCACGTCATTTGACGCTTTGCAAGAATTCATTCCTGCCTTTTTTTTCAAGATGCGGGGCATCGCGGCTGGTTTCTGTTGAAGAATTGCACGAGGGAAGGAAAGGCCGCTCGCGAATTTCAAAAGGATTTTGAACAAGATGGCTTTCCCAGCCGCGCCGCTGGTGTAGTGGTATCATGCAAGATTCCCATTCTTGCGACCCGGGTTCGATTCCCGGGCGGCGCACAAGCTCTTTTTTTCTTGGTTGTTGTTTGTTTGTTTTGTTTGCAAATCGTTGCAAAATCTTTTCCAAATCTTCCTCCTTTGCACAGCGCAATGCATCACTAGTTTCCCACTTTCCCAAGCGTTCCCTTGCCTCGGGGTGGGGGGCGCTTTCCTTGCAAAAGCGTGCAAATGTCATGCTGCTTTCCTTAGTGCTCCGGCACCCCTCTATTTTTATGTATTTATTTTTTATTATTTTTTATTATTATTTATTTTAAGAAAAAAATTTGCAAGGAAAAGGCTCTCCTGCAGATTTCAGAGAGCGCTTCCGTTAGAACAAGCCTCCCGGCTGCGGGCAAAGCATGCCAACGCCTCCTGAGGACTAGCGCCTTGGCTTCTGAGTCCCATGCTCCCATTGTTGCAACCTGGCTCAGCACTGGGCTTTTTTTTTTTTTTAGGAAAAACTGGAAATATTGATAAAGTGAGCCCCCATGGAACAGATGAGGGCGCAATGGATGGGTGGGTGGCATTTCTTCCACTCCCCCCCCGCCCCGCCCTGGAGAAACTTGAAGGGCAGGCCACGCCCCTTCAGATCCAGCCAATCACAACCAGTCATCGCCCCACTGCTTTCTGGGAAACGTAGTCTTTCCTGCCCTGGCATTGGTCGGTTGCAAGAGGAAGGGAAGGTGGGCAGAGGGGCTGCTGGCGTCTGGTTGGCATCCTTCGCCCACCCAGGCAGGCTGGTGGCCCCGGCTTCTCCAGCCTTCCTCCTGCGCGCCTCCTGCGCCCGATCCCGGCTGGGTTGGGCTGCCTGCTGGCTCCCCCAAGCCAGGGCGAAGCCAAGAGGGTCCGTGGGAAGAGGGCTTCTCCCGCCAGCCATGAGCAGGCACGGCTCGGGCTCGGCGGCGGATCGCAACAAGGAGCCCATCCTGGCCGTCCTGCGGGCTTACGTGGGCACCGGGCACCGCCTGCAGGTGCTGGAGGTGGCCTCGGGCTGCGGGCTGCACGCGGCGCATTTCGCCCAAGCGCTGCCCAACCTGGAGTGGCAGCCTTCCGAGGTGGATCCCCAGGCCCTGGCCAGGTAGAGAGGGGAGGGCTTGGAGAGGGGGGGTTGGGGGATAGGCAGGGTGGGAGAAGCCCCTCTCGGCTTCCCCTGTCTTGTTTCCCACGCTGGTGGACTCTCTTCCCCTTGGAGGCAATACAAGGCCTTCCCTTCCTTTCTCTTCTCTTCTTTTCTCTTCTCCTCCCTTCTCTTCTCTTCCGTTCCGTTCTGTTCCTTTCTCTCCCTTCCTTTCTCTTCCCTCCTCTCCTCTCTTCCCTTCTTTTCTCTTCATTCTGTTTCCTTCTCTTCTCTTCCTTTCTTTTCTCTTCCTTTCCTTCTCCTCTCCTCTCCTCCCTTCCCTTCTTTTCTCTTCCTTTCCATTCCCTTCCTTTCTCTTCCTTTCCTCCCCTCCTCTCTTCCCTTCCCTTCTTTTCTCTTCATTCCGTTCCCTTCTCTTCTCCTCCTTTCTTTTCTCTTCCTTTCCTTCTCTCCTCTCTTCCCTTCTTTTTTCTTCCTTTCCCTTCTGTTCCTTTCTCTTCCCTTCCTTCTCTTCTCTACCTTTCCTTCTCTCCTCATCTCCCTTCCCTTCTTTTCTCTTCCTTTCTCTTCCATTCACTTCTTTTCTCTTCCTTTCTCTTCCCTTCCTTTCTCTTCCTTTCCTTTCCTCCTCCTCCCTTCCCTTCTTTTCTCTTCCTTTCCCTTCCATTCCTTTCTCTTCTCTTCCTTCTCTTCTCTTCCTTTCTCTTCCATTCACTTCTCTTCTCTTCCTTTCCCTTCTCTTCCCCAAATTTGCAAGTTTTGGTGAGGAGGGGGAGAATAGCAATAGCACTTAGAGTTATATACTGCTTCACAGTGCTTTATAGCCCCCTCTAAGTGGTTTACAGAGTCAGCCTCTTGCCCCCAACAATCTGGGTCCTCATTTTACCCACCTCAGAAGGATGGAAGGCTGAGTCAATCTTGAGCCTGTGAGGATCGAACTCATAGCAGTAGGCAGAGTGAGCTTGCAATACTGCATTCTAACCACGGGGAGGGAGGGAGTAATAGCACTTAGGCTTATATCCCACTTCACAGTGCTTTATAGCCCTCTCTAAGTGGTTTACAGAGTCAGCCTCTTGCCCCCAACAATCTGGGTCCTCATTTGACCCATCTCAGAAGGATGGAAGGTGGAGTCAATCTTGAGCCGCTTAGAATTGAACTCCTGGAGTCAGCAGGGAGTTAGCCTGCAGTACTGCATTCTAACCACTGCGCCGCCATGGATGCTGAACAGGAGGGTAGGTCAAGCAGCATTACAGCATTTCTGCCTGGGTGCCTAGAGGAAGTAGGAATCTGGATAAGCCCATTGTTCTTCACTGGTGTTAAAATGATTGGAATTAATGCTAGGATAAAAAGGAAATGGGGGAAAAATCTGGGTAATTTCTCAGCCAAAAGGTTTGGGGGGGAAAGTTTCCCCAGCT